ACTAAGGTGGTGATAGAAATTCACATACAGGAAATGAAATATGAAGTGTAAAATGGAAGACGTTGATATCTTTAAAAAAATCATAAATTAGAATTCGGTTTATTAGTAGGGACTCATGATTTTCCCCCTCCATTTAAAAACACTTAACATTCCCAATGCCCAGAATGTTCTACATTCTGGATTTAGTTGATTCTGTCTTCATGGTGTCATTCAGCTTGATCTATTTCTTGTTTTGCCCACAGAATGGAAGTTAGATACGAAAATTTAATTTGATTAAAGTTAAAAACATTTTTTTTGGCAAGGATACTACATAGGTGGTGTTTTGATACTTCACTTTAGATCACATCAAGAGGCACATAATTGCTGGTTGTCCCAATTTTTGAGATGCTAAGGTTGATTAGAGAATTTAGGTGGTTATGGCCTGATATAAAGTTCCCTATTATTCTTGTATCTACTTGCTTTAGCATTCATTGTTGATTGATGCCTGGATCATTTAGTTCATCATGGGTTATTAAATGATGATTTCCTAACTTTTTTTTTCTTCTTTTTAAACATCTTTATCGAGTTACGACTGACATATAATAAACTGCACATTTAAAAAATATACAATGATACACATCGATACATGTATGCACTCATGAAACCATCACCACAATCAAGATAGTGAAAGTGTCACCTCAGACAGACTTCCTGTTGTGTATTTAAAACTTTCATAATCAAGAGTAAAAAATGAGGGGAAATATTCATGAGGCAGATCCACAGGGTTTGGTGATTGACTGCTTGGAGGTTAATGAGAGAAGTGGTGTACCATTTATTGAAACTGGGAACACTGAAGAAGAAACTTGGTGATTTCACTTTTGTCCATTTTCAATTCATAATGGGACATTCTATTATGGACATCAAGTAGGCAAGTGTTAAATTAAAAGGAACAGTTTGGACTAGAGATATGTAAACTTGGAAATATTGGCATATAGTAACTGAAACCAGGAAATACAAATTATCAAGATAATAAGTATAGAGCAGAAAGAAAAAATTAAGGGGAAAAATAAACTGTGAAAAATTTGAATGTTTTATGAGCAGTTAGAAGAGGAGGAATGAAGAAAACGGTAAGTGTATAGAATGGCAGAAGCCAAGGGAAAATAGGGAGAGAATGTCCCGTTTGTGCTGATCCCAATAAGCCATATTCTTCTATATAATAGTTTTACTTTTCATTCAAAATTAATACATTGATTTATATATCAGTAAGTGCGGGCGTACTCTCGAAAGAGTATGCACCTTCAGTGTATTAATAAAATTAAGTTTCTGAGCCTGTAAAGCTGAGGACTGGACTACAGACTCGTAAATCGAACCAAAGTAAAGGATACCTAGTGAGGACTCTTGAAACTAACTGGTGAGCTTTGTCGGGTGGCTTTCCAAGCCTCAGGAAGTCTTTGAAGCATTTACAGTAGTTACATTTTAAAATGAGAACTATTAAAACAAACTCTTTTCTTTCTTTCAATCTCCCCTAAATGTGAGAATCTTACCTTAAACTTCACGAGGGATAATTATCCAACCATTGCCTGTATAGCAGTGAATTCACAGTACTCTGGATCACTGTGTGATGGCTCTTTTTAGAAATTTCTATATTGAGAGTGATAAGAATAAAATCCTTCTCCTGTGGTATTTGAGATACCATAGAACAGTTTTTCAGGTCATGTTGAAGAAAGGATGAAGACAAACGACTCACAGTTTGAATGCCTTACACATTTTAGGTTCTTCATGTGTGTTGAATGAAAGAATGTATGAATCAATAAAACCCATAGATGCCATTTAGTTGGTTCTGAAAAGCTGACCATATCCTATTAACTTAGTAAGATCTGTTAGAAGAGTCGGGGATTTCTTTAGCATTAGAATCCTTTATCACTGAAACATGAAAATCTTTACAAATAGATTTGACATTCATGAAGTTATTTTGGACAAAAACTGAATTATGTTAAGTGCTCCCCCCACTTTTTTTCCCAAGAAAAGCTGACAGATGAAGGTTTTCCCACTTCTTTCCACCCCACTGTGGTGGGAGGAGGGGACAGGGACCAAAGCATGAGAAGCAGTGTATTGTATTGCAAAGAGCACGGCCTCTGAAATCAGATGGTCTTGGTTCAAACCGACATGTAACATTTATTATGTGTCTGATCTTGGGCCATTAAGCTACTTTTGAGTTTCAGTTTCTTCATTTTAAAAGTGAAGATAATGCTTAATTGACAAAGTCACTATGATGATTAAGGAGTGGAGAACATATAACACAGAAACTGGAAGATAGAATTAGTTTGATAGTGGTAGCTGTTACTTATATTTGGGCAACTCTTCATAAGACATTTAGCAGGAAAAAAACGTTAATTTCGTTGTTATTTGTTTACTTTTTAAAATAAGGCCAGGAGAGGATGCAGTAAGAGTTAAGAAGGAGTTTCACAACAACCAAGAGATAGAAGAACCCAGATGCCCATCGAGGGATAAATGAATAAACTATGGTACATACATACAATGAAATATTATTCAGCTTTAAAAAAGGAATTCTGACACATACTGAAACATGGATGAACTTTGAAGACATTATGTTACGTGAAATAAGCCAGTCAACAAAGACAAATACTACTGTATGATTCCATTTAAATGAGGTATCAAAAACTGTCAAAGTCTTAGAAACAGAAAGAGATGGTGGGTTGCTAGGGACAGGAGAAGGGGAAATGGAGAGTTGTTGAATGCGTATAGAGTTTTGTATGTGAAAGAGGAAAAAGTTCTGGAGGTATACTGCATAGTGAATACAATATTTAACTGTACACTTAAAAATCAGTAAGATGATAAATTTTGTTTTTTAAAACAATTAAAAAAAGGAAGAAGAAGAAAGGAAAAGTGAGAAAAGGAAAGTCTGGAAATTTAGAGGAAAGGCAAGGGTTGTAGCGACATGAAGAAATGAGCTAGAATAGATTCTGATACTAAAAACTCACCTCTAATTTTTAAGACATAAAAAAGGTTATATTACTGTATCTCACATGCACAAATTCATCAAATTAACACTTACTGTTTAAGTTCAAGGCACAGTGCTAAAAACTGAGGACCAAAAAATACCAAACAAACAAAAAAACCCAGAGCACAAGGAACAATTCTTGCCCTCAAGGAAATGGGCAAGTTAACAATTATTATAAAATATGGTGAGCAGAATTAGAGAGTACAGAGTACCTAATACAGATCATTATGGTAGAACAGAGATTGTCTAGAAGGGGTGGAATCTGATCTGAAAATTCGCAAATGTCTTCCCAAAAGCTTTCATACCATAGTCTAACCCCGAGATTTATTGTTATGGGAGAAAACGATAAACTATTTTTTAAAAAGAGTAACTCATATCTAGAAATAAAAGGGAAGAAGGAGGGTAAAAATTAAAGATTTGAAAGAAGGAAGACTTCCTCAATTTCATCTCTGTATTTTCTATTTTTTAAATTAGCTACAAAATTTCTTATTTCTAGGCCTTTGTCCACACCGTTACTTTAACCTGGCAATTAGTATTCCTTTATATTAAAATATATAAAAATGGGGCTTAATTAAATTATCTAATCATTTTTATATGAGTAACTAGAATTGAAAATAAAATAGACATTCTTCTAGCATTTTAGAAGAAATAAATTATGTCTACAAGTTAATTTAGTTTTAATGAATTACAAGGGTAAGATGAGTGCTGGAGAGAGGCCATTTTCACAAACCTTTGTTGCAGAAAGTGACATATTAGAAGATGTATCTAAATGAAAAAAAAGGGGGAATGAGATTTGGGTTTTCAGGCCGACAATAGATTTATAAGTATATATCATCAAAGGCTTTTTTGTTCTTCATACTCAACTAATAGCCTATGCTATCAAGACTTTCAAAGAGCACATTGAACAGATAGTATTCTTTTGTCATACCTACAAGAAAAATCATTAATATGTGTATCAGTAGTTCTTCACTAGGAGGTGGGGGATGTTTTGCTACCCCAGGGGACAAAAGACATTTTGGTTATCATAACCAGGGAGGAGGGTGCTACTGTTATCTAGCTTTTCCCCTTTTAGGACAAAAAAAAGTGCAGCTCATATAGGAATGCTGTTTTCTAGGATTTGACATATTCAGCTATTGAATTACTAAAACCACAGTGCTACAAAAGGAATGATGTTTGTTTCCAAAGACTATCGATATACTAGAGTGATGCGAAAATGATAAATGCGAAATATTTCATGGCAAACTTGGGGGTAAGGTTAGGACTGTAATTTGTGAGTTATTGTGGGGCAAACGGGAAAAGGACTAGTGGTGGAGGCCAGAGATGCTGCTAAGCATCCCATGATGCAAAGGACTGTCCCCACTCCCACCTCGAATAAAGGATTATCCAGCCACTATGTCAACAGTAGTCGAGAAAAGCTGATATATATACACATATCTTTTCTTCTCTCTGTCCTTCTCCCCCTCTTCTTTTCTGTCTCTTACACACACACACACACACACACACACACACACACACACACACACCCCTTTGCTTTAAATTATATCTCGTGGAACATACTTTATGATAAGAAAGAGAGAAAATCCTACTGATTTTTTTTTCAGTGACTAGAAATTTGGTCCATACTGCATTCGAATCAGCATATTTTTGACTAATGTAACAAGAGACTTTCCATCAAATTTTAACTTAATCGATGAAATAAAAGACTTTCTACCAGGTTTTATTGGTTAATTATAATATGAAATATAAGAAAAAACAGAGTCTCTCAAAAGAAAGAGCAAATAATATCTACCTACATGATATCTGACTACATTATTGGGCATTTCAAGTATTCTAGGAGATTTCATAAATGATTCTTAATTTTAAAAAATTTAGGTGTCTTGGTATTCATGTTAAGCTCTGAATTTATATAGTTAGAAAATGTACTCACCAATATAACTACATAAAATATTGGTAGGCCATATACTTTAAAATGCCTTGAGAATTATGAAAGCCCCCCAAATTTAAGTCATAGAGTATATATTTATTTTTGTAACAAAACAGATAAACCAAAACCGATATACTGTTGTTTGTACTTTTATACATTTGATTATGCTGAAATCTGTTAATTTAACATTCAGTTAAAATAAATTTTAAATTAGTTATTTTAAAAATGCCAAGCACATGATTCAGATAAACTTTTTGTTCACCAGAAAAAGAACTTCAAGAGTAAATAATGACACAGCAAATCCATCCAAAACACTAGGTCTTCATCTTTTGTTTCTTAGACCACTCAGGTGCTTCTTTTTTGGTCTGTTAAAAAAAAAGAAAAAAGAATAAAAAGAAAGTCAAGTAAAATGCTTACTAAGAGGACAAGAGAGGCGATTCAGAGAACTAAGTACCAATACATATTGGGGCTTTTTATGTAAGATTACAGTAAATAATTGCTTTTCTTAATTCAGAAGAATAGTTAAGGGCAAAGGTTTTGTCTTTTGTCAGAATAAATCTCCCACCTGGAATGTCTGGAGAAAAACACACATCTGTGTTTTCTGGCTCAAAGCCTATATTTAACATATTCTACAGAGGTGAGTGTTGTATGAATTGTTTCTATTTTCAAAGAGAATTAAAAAAAAACAAGATATAGCTTCTTTTTTTTTTTGTCAGTCTTATCTATCTATACATGGATATTCATTCACTCAATAGATATTTATTGAAGAATTACGAGATCCAAACCATTGTGCTTTGGGTCTTCTGAATTGCTCAGTATTTACCAGAGCACTTTTGGGGTTTATTGCTAAATCACTTAAGTCTAAAAAGAACTTGGCTGTATACAGTAACAAAAAAGCCAAGGAGGTAGACTTACAGAATAAAGCACTTAGAGCTCCTTTCCAAAGCATCTTATATTATGTATTATAATAAATTAAATATGCAGTTTACTGCTTTCCCACTTATATCTGTTTAAAACTATGAAAGACCACATTCCTAAATATACACACATATATGCTGTAGTCATATATATCTTATAATTTTGCCTTTTTTGTATAGTTTTATGTGCCATAGCTGATACACTAAATGGTGGAAGTGACATCCATGGTCAGCTCTTCTTGGCCTTACCCACGCCCTCGACCAGCTTCAGTTACCGCTAAATAAGCCAGTGGACTCCCTTCCCCCCACTTTCTCCTCTATCCCCATCTATACATCCCGCCTCTAATTCGAGTTACAGATACTTTCATATGGTCCCCACAGGCAACAAAAATTCAGTATGTCCAAATGGACTCCCCTAATTGTCCATATTCTCTGTCTTGTCAAATGGTATCATACTTTGCTCAGTCATCTCAACCAGAAATGTTTGCTTTCTCTTCATTTTAAGAATTCTTCTTTTCACTTGCTACATCCATTTTAAACAGTCCCTGCCTTTTACCGAAATATCCTTTTAACTCCTCATTCTGCTCCTATCTTGATCCTATCAGCTTACCTTGGGTTCTTACAATTTCTGGCTTGGTTCCTACAAGAGCTTCCTAACCCTGATTTGGAGCTCTTCTCTATTCTGTTCAATTCAAAGTCCACACACAATCTTTCCAAGCTTATCTTTCTAAAATGCAAATCTGCATTAAAACATTTCAGAAGTTTTTCTTTAAAAGAAAGTCCAGAGTCCTTAGTATTAAAGGTGAAAGAAGCTTCCATGGTA